CCAGAAAGATCATGTTTGCATCGATAAAAAGTTCCGAAGGACAATGGAAGATATGAGAACCAGGAGAGGAGCTGAAATAGCTTCAGATCACCACCTAGTTGTGGCCAATTTAAAACTGAAGCTAAAAAAGAACTGGACAAGTGGACAAACAGCAATACAAAGGTCCAATACAGCCTTCCTTCGAGATACTGACAAACTCAACGAATTCAATATAGCTCTTAACAACAGGTCCTAAGCCCTACAGGATCTAGTGAAGGAAGAAGAAACTACTATGGAGGACAACTGGAAAGGCATCAAAGAGGCATTAACTTCAACGTGTCAAGAGGTTCTCGGTCTAAAGAAACACCATCATAAGGAGTGGATCTCTATAGAAACTTTGGACAGGATCAAAGAAAGGAAGAACAAGAAGACAGTAATTAACAACAGCCGAACACAAGCAGAGAAAGTCCAAGCACAAGCTGAATACATAGAAGCAAACAAGCAAGTGAAGAAGAGCATTAGAGCCGACAAGAAGAAATACGTGGAAGAACTAGCAACGACGGTGGAAAAAGCTGCTAGAGAAGGAAATACGAAACAGCTTTATGATACAACGAAGAAACTATCAGGGAAATATGGTAAACCATAGAGACCGGTCAAGGACAAAGAAGGCAGGCCAATCACCGAAATTCAAGAACAGCGGAACAGATGGGTAGAATACTTCGAGGGACTCCTGAATAGGCCGGCTCCAATGAATCCACCGGACATCGAAGCAGCACACATAGATCTTCCTATAGATGTCAATCCACCAACTACGGAAGAAATCAGAATGGTCATCAGACAAATCAAGAACGGGAAAGCAGCAGGACCCGACAATATACCAGCTAAAGAATTGAAGTCAGACATCGAAGTAACTACAAGCATGCTTTACCATCTATTCAAAAAGATTTGGGATGAGGAACAAGTGCCGATGGACTGGAAAGAAGGACACCTTGTCAAGATTCCAAAGAAAGGAGATCTGAGCAAATGTGAAAACTACAGAGGCATTACCCTACTGTCAATACCAGGGAAGGTCTTTAACAGTGTTGCTGAACCGGATGAAAGACGCAGTAGACGCCCAACTTCGAGATCAACAAGCTGGATTCCGTAAGGATCGGTCGTGCACAGACTCGTCACAATACATCAACTTCATTGATTATGAAAAGGCATTTGACAGTATAGATAGGAGGACATTATGGAAACTTCTTCGACACTACGGAGTTCCCGAGAAAATTGTCAATATTATCCGGAACTCATACGACGGACTACAGTGCAAGGTCGTGCATGGAGGACAGCTGACAGTTGCATTCTAAGTGAGGACCTGAGTCAGACAAGACTGCTTACTCTCCCCCTTCCTCTTTCTTCTGGTTGTCGACTGGATTATGAAGACCTCGACATCTGAAGGAAAACACGGAATACAATGGACAGCTCAGAACTAATTAGACGATTTAGACTTCGCAGATAACCTAGCCCTCCTATCGCATACACACGAACAGATGCAGATAAAGACAGTCAGTGTAGCAGCAGTCTCTGCATCAGTAGGCCTCAACATACACAAAGGGAAAACCAAGGTCCTCAAATTCAAAGCGGAGAACAGCAATCCAATCACTCTTGATGGTGAAACTCTGGAGGATGTAGAATCCTTCACATACCTAGGAAGCATCATCGATGAACAAGGAGGTTCAGATGTAGATGCGAAGGTGAGGATTGGCAAGGCAAAGACAGCATTCCTACAGTTGAAGAACATATGGAACTCAAAACAACTTTCAACCAATATCAAAGTGAGAATCTTCAATACGAATGTCAAGGCAGTTCTACTGTATGGAGCTGAAACTTGGAGAACTACAACAACCACCATTAAGAAGGTACAAGCATTTATAAATAGCTGTTTACGCAAGATACTCAATATCCATTGGCCGGATACCATCAGCAACAGCCTTCTGTGGGAGAGAACAAACCAACTTCCATTTGAAGAGGAAATTAAGAAAAGACGATGGAAATGGATAGGACATACATTACGCAAATCATCAAACTGCATCACGAGACAAGCCCTAACTTGGGATCCTGAAGGGAAGCGGAAAGGAGGAAGGCCAAAGAACACATTACGTCGGATAATAGGAGCAGATATGAAAAGGATGAATAACAACTGGAAGGAGCTGGAAAGGACTGCCCAGGACAGGGTTGGATGGAGAATGCTGGTGAGCGGCCTATGCTCCTTTACGAGGAGTAACAGGCGTAAGTAAGTAAATAACACTTTAATAACAGGTATTCAAGATCATATTCATCTTTTTTTCTCAACTGCTATCCCATAATATATTTAAAAGCGTCACTACCATAAGGAAACATATCAATATCGTCTTGCTTACTGTTTTTAGGCCACAATAAAAACAAAGCAGACAATAGAACATTCATCTATTTATTTATCGTTTTAATACTAGTCTGAATCATGAAAATCTCTAGAGTAAAATGCACATACATACACATAAAGCTGAGAAATGTTTATCAAAGTTGAGTTCTAATATTGATTTCATACTTATGTATTTGTCAGCTTCTAGTACTTCCTTACTATGAACACATACATGCGGAGTACTGAAAAGTTGGTCAAATCGATTACCGTTGACCTGAAGATATACTTATCTTACTGCCTATTTGTAATTCTAAGGTCTATAGATAGCTTACTGGATGAAAACATACATGTTTTTTGAGGTGAATAAAAGGATTAAGTTGTAACAACTTGCTAAAGTAATATTGTCATTGTCAAATCATTCACATTATTTTCCTAATCATTTGTTTTGTCAAATGAAAATCATGATCAAGTCATCTATTGATGCTATAGAACAAATTATGCTTTGAATAAAGTATCCAGAGATTGAATGAAATATTTAATTTTAGCAGCAACAATAAAATACAATACCTAAAAACTGAAATAGAGAATTCTTAGGAGGTGTCATAACTTATGCTAATGAAATGTGTCCTCACAAGCTATTAGTCATTTTCTTATATTAATTTCATTCTTATTCAATTACGTACCGAGTTGGTGATATTTCCGAAGGAATAAATTACCTTTTAAAGTTTTCTAAGATTATGTCGAAAACAATTTTTTGATGTAATCAGATTCTCGAAAGCTTAGAGTTGGATTTTCTTTCCAGCGTAACCAGTGACAGCTAACTAATTAAACATCGTTGAAAACTATCCCATGGTTCAAGCCAGAAAGGAAACTCTAACCACTATCTAATTTAATGAACTACTGAATAACCTATATGTCACATCAAGTATATGTGAGTAGTAATAAACCAAAACCAAGCAATCATACTATTTAAATTTAAATTTTCATATATCAAAATCATTCTGCACAAACCGTCAACTTGCTGCAGATTTTGGTACTGGAAGATAGTGGGAAGCAATTTAATGGATTTTAGCATTTCCAATGAAATAGTTTAGCTTTAATAGATTTTTCAAGTTATGAATGTAGAGATAAGTTGTGAATAAATGATATTAGTTGGATAACACTAGAAAAAAATATAGCATTATTAGTTATACATGGTGATATATTAAAGAAGCGCTTTATCCATTTAAATATCATTGATATACGATATTAATTTCTCTTCCCAAGCGCTTATACTATGTAGTTACATTATAGGAAATAATCATATCAATATAACTGTTGGCCATAGACGACTACTGTTTATCTAATCGATTATTGATGAACTATTGCCAAGTACCACTTAGTTCACTGTATGAAAATCTGACCATTAATCAGTGAAAATTATTGTATTCAGATATCACTTCAACTTATTTTGGATGTCAATTAGGTTCGCATTCACTGTCTTCATGTTATTTGCATCAATCGATTCACCATTTCCAGAAGATAGTATGAAGCCAGTTAAATATTTCGCAGACAACAAATAACCACATAGAAAATTAAAACTTTCAAACGATTAACCAATGATTACACACACTACGACAAGAATTTGTAATCATGAGTTGTCTAAAATTAATGTTTGTTTTCTCAACGTTACTTTTATTACTATATTCAGTTTCATTCATAATCAGTTGACGAATACATAACACAAAACTCCCAGGTAAACTTAATTTGAATAGAAGTAAACGTTTAAGAATATCAATATTTAGACCCTGTTAATTATAATCACTTTTTTTCTAGAATCAATTTACCCCGTAACTATGATGAAATAAATTAAATGAACAGTAAACAACAAATAATAATTACTTGTTAAAATCATAAATAAATATGAGCAGCAACTTAGAAAAACACACAAATTAAATACAACTAGTGTATAGCATGTAAACAATAACACAAAAACACAAACATTTAAAAGAATTTAAAATTATATAAAGTAATGTAAAGTGATTAGCGTAATTACATGGATATGTACATAAGTGAAAAAAAGAATAGAATTGTGATGTTAAGAGTATAAAACAAAATCACATAGTTTAGTTTCTATGAATAGAAAACGAAACCATCATAGTCACATTTCAAGAAAATTATAAATTCAGTCAGGTAAATTTAATTCAAGCATTAACAGGCTTAAACATTTTGCTAATTACTTTGTAAAGTACTCCAATTCTATTTTACTCTCTTTTTTGCTAACTTAGATAACATGTACAGAACAAAGCAGAATACAATAAGATTTAAGACAATGCTTAAAGAAAAATAACTGGTCAAATGATTAAAATAACAGAAGTAATAACATTTGTAGAGGTAGAAATAACAATCAAAAAGATATTCACCGTAGGCGAGACATGGAATGGTCAATATGTATAACTGTTTGTTGTTTTTTTTTCCTGCCTACATAGGAATTTAAACTTGTGTTTTTAGTTTAAAGATGCACAAATCAAGAGCTGTTTCAATATCGTATGCAACAGGGATATTTAATTCTTGAGCTAAATCAATTAAATACATACGTACACGATTATAATCCTTAATGGCTTGTTGTGAAAGTGATTTCATAGGAATATTATTATTTTTATTATTATCATGTAGTTGTGAATTGATAGATTTATTGTTATCCCTTAAAAAATTAAAATTATTGGTAGAATGTTGAACAGAATGATGTGAATCAATTACAATGCCATAATCCAAAGAATTAGATTTCATTGATAATTGTTCATTGGAAAGAGAAGAATTTATTCCAGTGAAATCACTGGAAACATCACTGCTATGAGTATTCTTCTTCATGCTAATATTAACAAAATTATTAATCTAAAATAGAAAATAGATTAAATAAACTCTTTTTCTATTGACAAAAATGGAACTTACAGAAAATTGTTGTACTTTACAGTCATCGTATATTAATTGTTGAATTGAATTAGGTTCATATTTCTCATGAGAAATATTACAACTATTAACTTGTGTTTCATTAGAAGAATTAAACATTTGTATGAAAAGAACTACAGGTAAATGACATCCTATAGAATAGGCTGCCTGAAAAATAAAACAAAACAAAAAAAAGCAATAATATCAGTTTAACGGAAGTTCAAAAAACCCACCAAATAAGTAGAAAGTAAAGACAAAGTTTATATATGAAGTCTAGAAATATTAAACGACTGGACCAAATTAAATTTGATAGAGTGAATTTTGAATTAAAGTTCTTAGAATACCAAGTCAAGTAATATGAACGTACATAGAAGTGAACAGATGTATACAGCATACCATCCTCATAAAATCTAATGTGAAACTAACGACCTAAGTATTACATAGTCGCTCTTAATATAATTATTAACCTGAAGATTACAGCAGTATTGTCGAATTATCTGTCAGGTTACATAACCCGAATTAAAATAGAACATACAAATGATGACAAAATTATTCTTAACGTTGAACAGTATAAAAGTATGAAAAATCTTATGTACGAAGCTATTCCCTTTATTCACTGATCTCTAGATGATTCTGGTATTATATGGGCTTGTGGTATTACTCAGATAACTAAATAACATACAAATTTTTACTACAGTAGGTATAATTTCATCGAAGAAATGTTAAAATGAGTGAACAAGTTAAAGAGCAGACTTGTAATGAGACATAGAGCTTCACAAACATTAGGAGGTGAATCAATGATTTAAGCTTCTGATCCAGCGATTAAAATTGATATCCCTAGACGGTCATGTTACAATTTAATTTTAATTATATCATCTAAAAAAATAATAAAGTTTCCGGATAACTAGCAAGTATACATTTTCAGTGCACAGCTGATAGTTATTAGTATTAAAAGTTTATGTAAAATTATTCGCAACAGCACGATAAGAAAACACAATCGATATTATGACAGGATGAGTCAAACAAACGGACTATAAAAATGCACTAGCAGTTCTAGCTGAGAATGTGTATCACATACATTAAGTCATCATTTATTTTGATGTATGATACCGACTGAAGAAAGTTCAAGTTTTTAAAAAAGGATAAACGCAGACCAGGAAATTGCACAACTAAATGGCAGTCAACTGTTATTGATCAGAGCCATCTATTTAGATGTAGACTACCTGAGGGAATTTAATTGTAAGAAACCCTAGGTGATACGGCTGACAATCGGCAACAGTGATCCAATACAATCACATTTATTCTTTCCGAAATCTTAAACAGTTTACGAACTGCTATTTTATTTCCTTTTCATCAACACATCTTCAATTTTAATCATTCTCAATTTTGTGAATTTTCTCTTTTAGTATTGTGATGAGGTGGAAACCCTGAATCTATGTGCAATTATTTGACGTAAATATATCTGTCCCTCTACCTTAATACTCTTGATGCCACAAGCATAGATATCCATTCGAAAGGATGACCTTAAAGAGGCACACATTAATAAACATGAGCACTTAAAAGGGTAATAAAAACTTTTAGTGGCCCTGTATCTGACTTCAGTTAAATCGCATGCTGATTGTTATCGAAACATACATATCACCAACCCTCGTATATTTTCATCGACTTAATTTGCGTTAAAGAATAACGAGATAAGATAAATACGAGGATGCATTTTGAATACCTAAGTTGTCTAACAAATACTTATTCTTTTGGAAATCCAACACACAAACATGCCTCTTAAGAAACTATTCCGTTGCTGTTCGAAATAAACGTACGAAATAACGTGATTGGGGAAGCAAGAATAACAAGATGTCAGCAAGTTAAAAAATTATAGTATTTGTTGGAAGTACGATCTTTATTAGACGTTCAGAAAACTACGTTTTTGATCGATCTTAGAGGCAAAGGAACAGAGGGCAAATAGAACAGATTTCACAGGCTTAAAGCTTTTATTACACTCTTAAGTACTCATGTTTATTAATATGCGCCTATTTGAAGGTTGCTCTTTATTATGTGCGCTGTTCTACTCGTACCCTTATTAGTGTGATATGACACTTTTACATATAAATCGTAAATTTTTTATTACTATTCATTACACTATGTCCAGAACTCCAATAAAATCATCTGATGATGACAAGTAGACATCGGAATTTCATGAGAAAAAAATACAAATCATAAATATACAATTACCAACAAAATTCTTACCTCTATTAGAGTAATTAAATGAAAAGAACTATTATCAATTATATACAATAAAAGCCGACAATTTTTACGAATTTCTAACTGTTCAATTTCTAAATCTTCACAAAATGTTGACAAATTCTTATTACTTTCAAATGATTCATGAAAATTATTTTGTACAGCTTGATAATATGATAAATTCGAATGAATTAATTTAGGCAAAATAATATTATCTAATAAACATTGACTGAATTTATTCTTATTCAATATTCCAGCAATATAAATATCAAATGTTACATTTTTAGAAGGTTGAATCTTGTTCAAATGCATAGAATTATTTGATTTTGACAACGGTAATGATGAACAATGAGATGTAGATAGTGTTTGAATATTGGAATTAATCGAAACATAATTTGAATCGCTAAGAAAGCAGGGATTGAGCTATATTAGTAAAGAAGAAGAATCACAAGTTTAAAACACTCAAAAAAAGTACAAATAAACAGTAACGTGATGAAAAAAAAAGCTGGGTAAGATCAAGCAATCCGTTATACCAAATGCAGAACCTGAGACATGTTTGTGTATTGGATAAAGTGGTTCTTTTAGTAAAAGAAATTATACTTTGCATGACATTAGCCAGTTAGTAGTTTGAATTCAAATACTATCTTTTCCTAATCAGCTCTAATTTAAAGCACAACACCTGTAATTAGAATTAATGCAGTTGATATTGAATCGAAATCAGAAACATATCACTATATATATATCGCGTTTATTAGATTCCATGTTGGCCAATTTGTGCCATTTGATATAAACCAGAGAATTTGGGTTTATTTACCTTATAACGACTGACCGGGGAGATTTTTGGTAACAAATTATTACATTTACCTGCATATTAGTTGAATGACTAGACTATCTTCATGTACATAATTCACACTAAATACGTATACTATGTAGATAAAGCCTGTTAGTAAATAAAATGGATGAAAATTTAAGAAGGCAGAGAGATTGATATCTCAGGTAAGATATGTGTGAATAGCATGTTATACTGTAGTGTGTGCTACTGATGTCGACAGATATAATTAGTATGTATCACCAATAGAAAGAGAAATGCCTGGAGGCAGAAGGTTAATAAGATCGAAGAGAAGAGAACGAGAACAGAGAATGATTGGTGTGGAAATGAAGGGACGGTAAAGTCTGAGACAGTTGGTTGACATTTTACAAATGAAGTATTTGCTGTATGTATGTATCATCGCCAAGGTTTGACTTGATAATTTCGAATAAATTGAGCATTGGGTAGATTGTTATAATCAGAAAATCTAATTTTTCTACTCACTGGGATATTACAAATATATTATTTTATTTATATTTACTGTATAGTGCTCAGACTTTACTAAGCTATTCTGTAATTTTATGTTCAAATACATCTGGTTATCCCCGCTTGTGTTCTCGTTCACTAAAATGCCTTCTGTCTGATACAACACCTAAAACAAAATAAATCACACGGATGTAATTCAAAATATACTAGCAAATTTGTTTCAGTATAATCAAAACTGGTTATACCTGAGATGAAGAATCAAGTGGTTGTTTGCTTAGTGGAGATTCCATTAATTCAGAATACGATTGAGTTCCTTCAAATAAATTCACCAATTGTTCGCCTACAAGGCATTCACATTTATCCCGATTACTCAGCAGCTTAATGGAAAGATATTTTTTTAAGATAACCAATAATGATGGAGAACTTTGTTTCAGTATATGCTCAGCATACAATGAAGATAATAAGTCAAAACGACTAACCTTATCCCAATAAGTAATAAAACTCCTATCACTGGTTAGATCAACATTTAATGACTTGAATCCTTGACGAACCTTTGAAGATATAATAAAGCATAAGAATAATGAAGGAACAAAATCGATATGCTATAAAATTAGCAATAAATGCAGTCAATAACTAACAAAGCATGATCTTATCGGCTGATTTGTTATATTTGCTGAACGCTCTAAATCTAACCGCGAAATTGCTTGCCCGGTTGTCTCCTCAAACGCGACCAACGCTTTGACTACACATGTGAATAAATACTTGAGGCTTACATATGTCTCCTACTTTCATAGAGCGTGTTTAACAGCAGACATAAAATAATATAGAACGAACTAGTGTGCAGTATATTCCCAGATTTGTTGGCAGACAGACATTTCATCTTATAAACAAGTGATGGAAGTTGCTAACACTCAACTAAACTTTCTGAATTCGTGCCGAGATTTTTTCAGTTACAAACCCACCATGACTGATGAAATTATCAATCCAAGTAAAGTGGTCAGAGAGCTCGACTACTTTACTTCCTACGGTCAATTGAAATATAATTTCGGACAAGGATATCAGTGATCCACCCAACAGAAAAAATCATTTTAACTAAAAAAAATGGGATGTTTGCTGGTTCAGTTATGCTTGGAGCGGAATAGAGAAAGAAACTTGATAACTAGAATATATAAGGTAATGCGAGTAGATTAAAAGAAGAAATATGAACTAGCAAAATCCTTAGTAGATTTTTTCATAATAGTTTCTTTTCAATATCTTAATAACATTAGCACAGCTTATTAGGTGACTTCCCGCAATAACAATAAGATAAAAGACCATTACTCCTATAAGTAATGATAAACTATACAATATTGATGAAATCAACTAAGTAAATTAAACGTAAAATGCTGGTAAAACAGACTAATTAAGACTACTGACAGCTAAACTAACTTGATCATACACGACCTGACTATCAGCTGACTTGGGAGCTCGTCGGATTATTTCGTGAAATACGTTAGATATAAATCTGAAATAAAAACAACGGTTAAAAAGGAACTTTGGAAATTCACTAACATGATTTATTTATTAGAAAACACTGTGTTACAACGACAGAAAATTAAAAATTATGTCAAATATTTAATGAATATTTAATGAGATTTATCATCTGATATGCCAGATGTGTACAAATTAACTAGTTTCTGTCCTGAGAAAAAAACACTAAACATTAACAATAACTCTTCCACAAAGCTTTATTCGACTACTACTTAGAAATATGTATTCGTGATGTCGGGTTTTGAGAAATGACATCCATTGTTGAGAGTGGTAAATAGATTATTTGGTTATGGGAGAGGAAAGTGATGATATTATAAAGTAGCACTGAGACCCGTTCGGTATTTAACATCTCAGTCACAGCTTGACCAATAAAGTGCATGAACGGCAATCCAGTGGTCATCATTTAGAACTTCGTCACAAGTTTGCTTTCAACTTTAATTAATGCCCTTGTACATTAAAGTTATTTAGACAAAACAAAATATCTGAATCGTCACATTAGTGCCAGAATGTTTTTTTACAGCATTATTTTGTTACGAAACATTTCTTTTATGTCTGTAAGAAATTCTGTCCAGTTTGAGTGAACAGTTTTACAATATTTGAGGGCAACATGTGTGGGCGACATTTAAAAAGTAAATAATATCTACTAGAATCTTAGGTATTTAACTTAAGAAACTAATGTCTTTCTTAATCCATACATGCTTCAAAAAGTTTGATCTTTGGCTACAGACCAGAATGACAAATTTGATCGTAAATGTAGGCGTAAAGCCAAATATAGTCACTAGCTGTCAAATAGGAACTGCAAGTACATACATTTTGCATGAAACCATTTGGATACATTTCCCCATAAAATTACTCCCATTCACACAGAAACAATATCTCAACACGACTGGATAACTGTATAGTAAATAGCTGTTTTATTACCTTATATTCTATGTGGTAATTTTGATTTCTGACTATTTCCTTAATGATTGGAGCAGAATTGAGAGTGAAGTGAAGTTAACCACTGAGATTTTTAAAAATGTTAGTTTTTTATGTGTCTGTAGATTCATCGATTTACTAGAAAATATAAAACAAAACAAACTCACAGTATTTTATTCATTAATTCCTTGTCCTTATTTGTTATGGTTTCCGCAAATTTAAGCCTCTCGAAAAAAATAACACAAAAAATAAGGTGAATATTAAATTACAACCAACCAGTCAATAATTTAGTTTTTTCGAAAGAAATACATATCAGTTTCAGTAATATTTACAGACATATCAACAATTCATTATACTGTATTGTTCAACCTTAATTACCAATGACCTACTGTAGACTATATGCAATAAAATATATAGGAAACCCACAAAACAGAAAAAATCTTTAGACTGCACAAAATCCAGTATGTGGCTCAAGATTACGCTTTGTATCTCTTAGCAACGTACCAGCTGGAATTAGTGCACTATGTTGAAATAGTCGACTTTAGCGATTCAGACAATTAACACCCCCATTGTTTTTCGCAGTTCACATGTAGACACAGTACTATTAACCAACATAAACGATTTGATGAGACGATCAATTGATGAAATACTGGAATGAATGCTAATAGAATGATTACTTCACTGATTGTTAGGAAGAATAACTAACTGACAGAATCGGATCACAAATTCACAACAGATGCCAAATGAAACCACTGGGTTGTTAAATAAGTAAATCATCTCTATGCAAAATGTTTTATTAAGATAACGTGACTATGAGTTATGGAAGATATAACACATATGTTTGTCAAATATATGCAACTCGTTATTTTTATGCACCTTTATCAAAAATATTCATTTGAAGGCAGTGTCTTTTTCAAAAGCTTCACGAGTTAAACAGTCAATCATTTAGTTATTATGACCATGAGGCCTGGCAAAAATATCTATTGGTTCAAATTATCATAAGATACCGTGAGTCGAAATAACAGGAGCAGCGATGATAGTAAGACCAAATTTAGAGAGTATGGTTCGAAGAGAATAAGTGAAATACGATATTACAAAGTATATTACGGAGTACTAAGTAACATTAGAACTCAACATTCAGGGGAGAATAGTGAACGAATTTTACCGAATGCAAGCCATTTCAACTTCGGTCTCCTAAACACTTGGCACGACGTTGCACCGTATTATTGTGTACTGTCTATTTATCAACTTTCTATTCCCAATGGTGTACATGGGCTCCAGGATCCTGGGGAACAAATGGCGTATGAACCAATTGTTGGTCACCGGCTAACATGGGACTGCATCTCCTCACGATGCTCCACTGCCTTGTGGGGCAGACCTTTAGGTCAAAGGCTAGGAGTGTTGCCCTCTAAGAAAACCACTTGCTTCGGTTTGGGCACCCGGGCAGTATCACAGCCCACACACAAACAGGATGAAATGATGATACTTACGGAAAATACTATTCTTCCTTCGATTAACAGTCAAACGATTCACATTATTATTATTATTGTTATTTACTACGTCATTTATTCACTCTCTTTTAGTCCCACTTCATGTAGCCTTATTTTTCGACCTATACAGCAGCTCGCCTATGGTGGAAACTCGGTTTTATCTAGACGTTCTCGAGTCACTGACCGGTTGAAAATTGTATGCTACCACCAAGTACGAGTACTGAAGCAGTTTTTCTGAAACCGCGTGCACCATTCAAACTGGCTGCCTTCAACGTTCGCACACTTATGCAGGTTGGACAACAGATAGGGCTGGCTGTCTTTGGAAAGTCTTAATATCGACGTTTGCTGTCTATCCGAGACCCGTATTCAAAACTCTAGTGAAGTACTGCAAATTCACTTTCCATCTCTCGCTTCAAAAAGCTTGTTTTACGTGCGCTTAGCCAGGGACCCTGTGGCATCTTCGTCTGGTCTTGCTGGCGTTGATGTCGCACTAAGCGCTAGAGCTGAGACAGCACTAATCGATTGGATCCCCATTAACAGTCGGTTATGTGCTGTTAGATTAGAAAATTCCATCAAAGTGAGAAGAAATCGGCGTGAGAAACGATGTCTTTTCGTCATCTCCGCCTATGCCCCGACAGATTGCAGCCCGGATGCAATCAAGGATGAATTCTACCACCAGTTAACTGTTCTACTCCAGAAAGTGCGTTCGACAGATATTGTAGTACTAGCCGGGACTGGCTAGCACTAACTTTCGGCACAGTCATTGCCGATGTGCCACCTGGCGTCCTTCTACTGCATCTCAAGCCTGCACTAAGATTGATCACATCGCGATCAGCAACCGCTGGCGTGGTTGTGTACAAGACTGCCGCTCCTTTTGGAGTACCTATCTGGACTCCGATCATGCCCTGGTCTGCTCCGATCTCACCTTACTTTTCAGTGGACAACGAAGTGACTGCCACCAAAGGATTGATGTCAGCAAGTTGGTTGCAACTTCTGTTGCAAGTAAGTATCGAACCGAGCTAGCTTCTAGGCTAGCTACCATTCCACCCAAAAGTATAGATGAGCATTGGTTGCAACTACATGACGCCATCAAAATGGCGGGTAAAACCACTTGCGGTTTCGTGAAACGTCCCCCTTATAAGCACTGGGTTTCTTCAGGCTCCATACAACTCATCGAAGCCCGTTGGTCTACTCCGGGTGACCGTGAGTTTGACCACAAACAAAGGCTGTTACGTAATGAAATTGAGCAAAGCTTGCGTAAGGACCGAGAAGCCTGGCGGCCGGAGCGTGCTAATGAGCTGGAAGCAGCAGTTGCATCTAATAATTACCAGAAGCTCTTCCAGCTCATCCAAGCTACTGGCAGCAAGAAGTCTGGTGTGAGCGAAACAACCTGTGAGGATGATGGGATGCCAATCACTAACATCCATCGACGTCTTGGACGATGGGCAGAATTTTTCGAAGGGCAGTTCAACTGGCCTGTTGCTCCGGCAACATCGGTCAGACTGTCCTGCCCTCCATGGCCGGTGACGACTGATCCACCAAACGAGGAGGAAGTCCGCAAGGAACTCCAACTCTTGAATCGTTACAAATCACCTGGCCCAGATGACTTATCTCCGGCTCTTTTTAAAGATGGTGGTGACTTTCTGGTTAAGGAACTGACGACGTTGTTTACAAGAGTCTGGGAACTAGAGAGTGTACTAACGTGATGGAATGAGTCGATAGTTGTCCCTATCTTTACATTGTTCCTGTAACAACTATCGGGGGATAAGTCTACTTCCGATTGCGTCCAAGCTATTGACTTCCGTCACACTTCGTAGGTTGTTCAAAACCCGAGAAAGATTGACTCGCGAGGAGCAGGCTGGGTTTTGTCCTGGTCGAGGATATACTGATCATATCTTCACCCTATGCCAAATGTTAGAACACCGCCAAACTTATCAAGGGCCAACAATCGTGGTGTTTCTTGACATCAGGGCTGCCTTCGATTCGTTGGATAGGACTGTTCTCTGGGATAGTCTATTGAAGAAGGGTGTGCCTGAGAAGTTTATTAACATCCTAAAAGCCCTATATAAAACACCTCAGGTAGAGTGAGGGCATACAAGCATTCAAACAGTGGGGTTAGACAGGGTTGCCTAATCTCACCATTTCTCTCCAACTTTGCCATCGACATTCTGGAAACAGCTCTGATGGATGTAAGTGATGGCGGTGTGGACCTGTTGTCTGGAGAAAGACTTTCCGACCTTGAGTATGCGGATGATATTGTCTTACTGTGTGATAATGCTCAAACCATGCAATCCGCACTTAATCAGTTGGCAATCAGTGTCCGTAGGTACGGTATGTGCTTTGCACCTTCGAAGTGCAAAGTACTTCTACAAGACTGGCAGGATTCTAATCCTGTACTCACCCTGGATGGTGAGCAGATAGAAGTAGTCGAGAAGTTCGTGTATCTGGGTAGCTGCATAAGTGCTGGTGGGGGTGTGAGTGATGAGGTCAATGCACGTATAGTGAGAGCTAGAGCGGCCATCATTGGCGCCTTCGTGATGTCAGTCTGGCTGTAAAATGTCGGATCTACAACGCGTCGGTGAGAGCAGTTCTGCTCTATGCTTGTGAAACCTGGCCTCTCCGAGTTGAGGACGTTAGACGACTCTCTTTGTCCGGTCATCGTTGTCTCCGAAGGATTGCTGACATCAAGTGGCAACATCATGTTAGTAATACAGAGGTTCGGCATCGTGTGTTCGGGCACAGAGACGATAATCCAATTGGTGTCACCATCTTGAAACACCGACTTCGGTGGCTTGGACATGTTCTACGAATGTCGTCCCAGAGAATTCCACGTCGTGGATTGTTTGCCGACTCTGGGACTGGTTGGAAAAAGCGGAGAGGTGGTCAGTGTATGACATTGTGTCGGGGTATGAAAGAAAGCTGCAAGGGGCTGACTTCTGTTGATCCTTCACGACTTACTGGCTGGGGTCCGAAAGATGGTGCAACACAGTGGCTAGAGACGTTATAAGATATGGCTCAGAGTAGAAGCCAATGGCGATCCTGCTGTAACCTTCTTTTACTTTCTTCATAAAAAGTGGTTGTATCTTCCTTAACTGAAAGAATTCTTCTGGTTGTACCTTTCCGTTTCCCCCATTACTATTATTACTATTACTACACTACCTTACACTAATCTGTGGTCGTTACTGTTCTTCTTTTTTTTTCTTATACGCTCCTTACCTTCATTTTTGTCTTCCCATTCTCATTGTTTTGTGTGGCGCATAAATATTTGGTGCCCCCTTGTACCAATATTTATGTGTTCAAATAATAATAACCTTCTATTCATTTATTTTAGCAATCCCAAACAGATTTTGCCGAATTTACTCTACATGCACCAGATCACTCGAACATGTCACACAACAAAAGGCTCAACAAAACCTCCGACGCTCTTAGTAACAGAAAAGAAACAATCTGAGTGTTCATATAGTTGAAGATCAAATTATGGTTTAAAAAAATGTGCATACTCAAGAGGAGGAATAGGGTGAAATAAAATGTTTCTTTACTCTTTTTAGTCAGACAATAGTATAGGCGTATCTTAAATATTGTAATAATAGTGCAGTTGCGATCCGTTAGTGCGGCAACTTTCATAAATACTGAAGAGTACTTGAAATAAATGGAAAGCACCACTATTTCACTAACGTTGCCACAGAAGAGACTTAAATTATTTCATGCAGGAGGTGATATGATGGTAAAGAATAAGACCTAATTTTCAGGTCGTAAATCATTGGAGGTTGAATGATCTACAAAACTGATATCCTTTAATTGATCTTAGCATCCAATCGTGTTTATTTTGTTGTTATTAATCTATGAGTAAGCATGTTATTAGGTAGGGAAACCTATTATGTCGGCTAGTGGTCTTATCAACAGTCTGAATCAATAAACCAAACTTGTGAGCAATCAGCACAACACCATTGTATCATTGCACTTTATCTATAGATTAGTATTGTATCCACTCACTTAACAGTCCCGAAACATTCCTGATTACAAATCACATAATTATCTTCCATAACAATTCAATATGGAAACTTCTAAAAATGCAGTGGGTGTATACTGTAAAGTAACAGACTTGATCAATGAGCGAGTTCATTAATTTGATACCAAAAAATGTTCCACTAACGAAACAATCAAGGAAGTTAATAAAGCAACTTACTAAATGACTATTATGTACTGCATAATTTACAGCAGTTTCGACTTCTGAAAAACATGGTATCTTGAGACGCTTAATCAATTGAATAAAACAATTCATAGCCTCTTCTAAGAAGTGATATTCCCTAAAAAATCAAGACAAATCTAGTGAAGTATAAACACAGTTAGCTGAGAAGAAAGAATCTGGCCTCAGCCTTTTATAAACCATTTTCACATTTTTATAGACGTAAAAACATCTTGACTTATAACAAAAGATTGATATACGCAAATCAGTAAAAACGACACCGTTAACTTGTTAAAATTATTCAATCTCTGAACAAAAGACCGCTATAAGGTTGTAAAACATCAGAAGTTCATATCCTAATCAAGGATATACTACAAAATGAGTGTATTCCCATACAAATTGGATCTTTTGCCTAAGTAATTTACCACTACCATATGATTGTCTTATCCGTTCCTTCGTGAAATTATCTCGTTTAGCATAGCATATTTCCTGTTGTTTCTCTGCACTAAATGTCTCTCCCATCAAAACAAACATAAAATTTAGAAATCTATAGAAGCAGATGATAATAATATTCGGGGAAATTTTTCAGTGGTTGAACTACTCTATTGGCGATAAACGAGTTACATACTTCAAATTAACCCTTCATCTTACTGAATTCAACAGTCTGGAAGAAATGTGGTCCAAATATGCACTTTTATGGTTTTTTATATACAACAGATTAAATTTGACTAGCAGTGGAATCCAGGACGGGCATTTCATCCAATTTAAAACTCGCCAGATGGATGTACCTGCATCTCGAATTTGATGCTCACTCTAGGATTCGAAATTCACACACCCAGCTGATGAGCTACAAACAGGATGAAACGCGAGTCCTGGATTACAGCGCTAGCCATATTCCATCTATTCTATACAAATTTGTGTCATAATGGCTATATCGAGCCAATCCGCACAGGATGTACATATGCCAACTAAGATTGAAAAAATCTGAGTCAAAATATCAACAAAGGGATGACCAAAACCGTTAAAAATTGAATTGAGATTACTCTCTTATTTGGAAGATTAATTTCAGTGTAACAAAGCATCTAAAAAATAAACTACAAAAATTAAATATTATTGCACAAAAATACTAAAAAAAGTCGTACAGTCAATGAACAAATGAATAATAATATTTGATGAGATACAGTTCAGTTAATATTTTCACTGCTAAATCTCCTTGTATCCCGCAAGGGTTATAATACTCTACTTTTCCTCTCTAAAGGTTTCTTTATGGTCACGCGTTTATAGCTTCTAACAGGTAATTTCTATAAAGTCCCTTTACGTGATGTGCATTAATACAAGTAAGAACACGAAAAGCAAGCCTTGATGGATACGAGGGATCTATCTAGGGCCGGAAAACCTTAATTTCAAATGTATGGAGCCCAAGGATCCTGAAAAAAATGATGGCATTTGAACCTATTTTAGTCACCAGCCACAATAGGATTGGATATCCTGAGGTTGTTTCATTGCCTTATGGATTTGGACAGTGGTCTGGATATCAGAAGACCATCCCAGCTTACACACGGACATGATGAATAGTCATAACGAAAGTGTTTCATCCGCTTCAAAATGTACTACGTGAACTAGATAAAAGTCATCGAACTAAACTTGGATGTTTTTTTCATAAAATACATACATTATAGTAAACAGCCTAACTAATATCGTATATTGCGTACCCAAGATATCAATCACCATCATGAAAAAATTAGTCAACTTACAATTTGGAAATATTTTCACCAGCTGCTGAAGGAAAATCGGTGCATTCCACTTTAGATATACATAAAACTAGTGGCTTTTTTTGAGAAGCAAGGTATGTAGCTTCCAAAAGACTGACCAATCCTCTCGTTCTCCAGTTCTCAAAAACAAACAATAGTATGTCCGACACTGATTTTGCCTTTCTTTCCAGTTCCATGAGTTCAGGCGACCAGTCATCTACCTGCTACACTTTGTAAATAAGAAATAAAGTTGAAAGATAACTATATACTCGATGGCATCAGTGAAGTGATTACATCAACTTGATATAAAGTCCAAATCAAAACTACATTTATTAGATCAAATCTGTCGTGATTCCGTATTGAAACATAACAGTGGTATCCTCTATAGATAGCCAGAAATTTAAGGAATGTCATTTTCATAAAAATGCGAGTGGATAGAAAATGTTACCCTTGAAGTTAGTGTACCTTTTCTCATGTTGTCAACATAAAAGACCAGCACCATTTACCCTTTGTGTATCTGAAGTCTCAACAGCCACTTCCCATGTCCTCACTAAGTTTAAAAGCAGTACAGGCTGTTAGACTGAATTCCAATAGACAGTCGCTTGTGCGCTGTCCGACTAAACGGGACAGTAAAAACTCGAAAAGACAGGAACACAGGCCGTTGCCTTTTCGTTGTTTTCGCCCACGCTTCTATTGATTGCAGCTCGGATAAAGTTAAAGATGAATTCCATGGGACGTTATCCTAACTCCTTCAAAAAGTTAAACGCACTGATGTGGTAATAGTGAAGGGTGATTTCAGTGCTCAAGTAAACTAAACCAAACCGAAAAGTACATGTGAGAATCATACGGTTTCGTCTACGCGAACAGACAATGATAAACGCTTGTTGCAATTATGCTGAGATGACCATCTAACACCAACTTTAAACAAAAAGAAACATCACTTGACGTGGCGACCTCCGCAACCGACTCATCGATGAACTCGAATAGATCAAATCGCTATCAGCCATCGTTTGAGGGGCTCAATTAAAGACTGCTGCTAATTCTGGAGCATATGTTTAGACTCAGAGCGTAGTTTGATTTGAGCATGTATATGTTTGCGTCTTACTGGACGTAAGAAAGTCAAGTGCCCTCACATGCCTTGGTACGACCCAGGGTGGGGAGAGTCAGCTCTCCCTCTTGAAATGCTCTCATATGACCACACGTATACAGCCACTGTCAGGGAAGTCCTCACTGCCATCCCGTAATGGGGATGTTGTTTACGAAATTGAGAGAACGAAAATATTCTAATATAAAACGGATGCACTTAACGTTATGCTAATGGAATTATAGACCAACTTTCTGATACCCTCAAAAAAATACAAAATTTTTAATGCTGCGAAATAACCTGGAAATTTTCGCGAAGTATGTGGCAATTATAAGAATCCTTGTCGGATTCATCCCAATAAATTTGAACCCAGTTGTTAATTAAAGTAATACTAGTTTAAATTTCATATGCACCACGGTAATGAGGACGACGACCCACTCAAAAAATGTAATGAACTCCAACTAACCGGATTATAATATGTGAGGCCAAGACGGTCGAGAATCGGAATAGCCACTTCTTTCCTCCAAGTAGTGGGATTACAAGCTCCTCCAAGAAAAACTTCACGTATAAGAAAGCACCACACTTACAGTCATATCTGTCTAGTCCGGAACTCGCCTCGAAAGAAGTCACAGTTGTAGAATCTAGTGCACAAGCTGCATAAAAAATGACATCTGAGTAACGAATCTGGTTGACGGGATTACGCAGAATCCTAGGCATCATCAACATCTCTAGAAATGCAAATAAGCTACTCGGCAAGAGTAACGCACGTAGTTCAACTGGTTGTGGTAAACCTAACATCTGCAGGATATTTCTTACATCATTGACACAACAAATTGTCGATAACTGTGAAATGTCTGCTGACAGCATCATGAAAGATTGCGTACCACGTATAAAATTACTCGTGGTACTATTTTCTGTTAAGTTTCCTGCTTAAACAACTAACACGATTCTAAGGTATTGTTGATCAACTCAGCCGGAATCACATTGTGATGGGAACACTGACACACAAGGTCACATTTGACTAAGTGAAAAATCTGAAGGACAGGCAATGTCATTCATTAGACAATGTCGTTCTCTCCGATAATAAGAAACAATATCTCGATGGGCTTTCCGAGGTCAATATTCTTAGTATGTGCTTGTAGAATATCCCCAGAATGGATAGTTCTGTAGCGATAAATAAATACGCAAAATAAATAGCCCTGTAAGTTTTCGACATTGGATGCTGACCATATGTTTTAGTGGACTCATCTAGCTGAAGGCACTCGTTCATGCATCCGCACCATATCACGTGTGGTAACGTTGTGCTCAACATCTACCGCAAACGCTAGCCAAATTAGATCAGAGAATTCCGATATATTAGTAATCGCCAAATACACTCTTTCGATCTCCTCGACTCTGTCGTTTGATTTCTCTCGGTGGGTACAAATTATATTAGAAGGTGTTACTGGTAAAAGCGTTGTCAAACACTGAATACCTGTGTCATCTTCAGTTCTGTAGGTTTTTGGCATTGACACTGACCTCACTAGGTTTTCTGACCACACCTAGCTGAAGACGCACAGTCACGCATCCACATCAGATTACGAGTGGGTACGTTGTGTTACGCATCTTTTGCAACTACTGGCCTGCTTAGACCAGACGCTTCTCTACATATCGACAGCTTCCCAAATATATCTTCCAATTTCCTCATTTCCGAATTCTGTTTTGATTGAGTTAGTATACATCGGTTATAAAGGTGTTACGTGTAAAGGCGCTGTGGTATTCCGAATACTTGTGGCATCTATAGCTACAAAGATGTCTTCATTCAGATCACGGGACATGACAGTCAGGGCGCGGGATCATCGTTTTCAAACACAAAGTTTTCGATAACCAATGTAAAATAGTAGGAAATATAAAAACTACACAAAATAAGGAATTAAATATGTAATTCAGCTATAAACCTTAGCATTACTCAGATGTCGGCCAACTCTCAAGTGTTCAGTTTTGTTACATTATAACAATGCTAATGAATTTAAGACCTTTGTCCACCTTTAACGATTGTTCGTACATTCTCGTTTCAAAAACACCAGCTTCGCTTGAAATCTATATCGGAAACGAGAACGCAGTCAAATAATGTTGTATCAAAGCCAAACTTGTAGAAAACATAGTGCCCTGCCCGACTCTTCCATTAAAACTGAGGAAGAATCCGTTGATAAACCAAACGACTGAAGCTCAACGTAAGCGTCATATCTCCAGATACCATACGGTCGTAAATAGATTTATTAAAAAACCATCTATTTTAGTCAGTTTAGTGTAAACCTCAAACCTAGTCATCGGAAATACATAATCATCCTGGAGCTGTACTTTGAATTATAGGGCTCCTGGGGAATCGGAATGAGTTCAAATACACGGATAAGACTGATATCTATTTAGACAGTTTACAATTGACTGGATGTCAAAATCTATAAACAGATGGAACAGTTGCTTCGGACCCAGAATTATGCACATATAGATATGTAGATCACCAATGAAGATGTCCTGTTTTGAGTGATTAAAGACCTACTCGAGTGAGACGAGAATAGTTACAGAACTATCAATTCTGGGGATTCTTTTATCGTTAGAGATCACTTCTCACTAGCGTGGCAGTGGTGTCACTTGTGACGTGGTTTGGGCAGAAGTATAAACCCAAAAAGCTTATCGTTGGTAAACATCATTTTGATATCTCACTATGTTCAGCAGTGTCCTGTCGTCTTTCCTTACCATAAAAAACATGTGGTACAATATAGTAATGAAAAACAGGTACAATGAAATCTTCGATTCATTGTACAGTTCATTGTTCTTTTATCTTTTCCAGCCGTCCTGAAAAAGAAAAGAAGACACTCCCAAGTTATGAATAATGTGGCTTCATTTAAAACATATATCTCACATTGTTTAGAGTAAACATTAGAACTGTTTTTGTGATAAGAGTAAACAGCAGTTGATATGAAATCATCCGAAATATAATAAAACTCGAGGTCACTTAGTACTCGTGCTTCGCATTGGGCAGGTTTTTCACGAAGATCAAATACATTATGAGGATAGGTAATATATGATATGACATCAGGATTTGATTCTTCTGAAATATTCTCATGAAATTCATCAGGACTGTCATTGCAGAGCGTAGGATCGTTAGAAAAATCAGCATCTATCCAAACCACATCAGGTTTTCGATCATGATTAGGTTCATTTAACATATTTTCCTCAGAATTGCAAGTAATTTCATTAGAAATATGTGAATCATTAGGAAAAGTCATACTTGGTACAATAGCATGAGAATTCTGATAAATCGGTTGATTAGGAAATGTTGTCTCACAAGAATTCTGGATTTCATTTAACTCTGAACTGCCATATGACTCTGCACTGTCTTTTGAAATCGTTGATAAAGATAAATGATCATCATGAATACTCGACTCAGTAGAATCAGAATTACAAGACTTAATATTAATTGCAGTAAGATGAACATTAGCATTACAAACTGACTGAACTTGTCCAATATCACGACATTTGAAGCATTTAGAATTATGAAATTTACATGAATTAGAAGAGTGGAACTTGCAACAGGACAAACACTGACCAAACTTGTCCCCATCCTCATGAACTGCATCCAAATTCAATGAATTGTCTGCATAACCTTGAGTATGCACTAGGTTGAGATGACGTAGTAATGTAGTGGACTTTTTTATATCCTCATGAATCATTTTACGAAATCTTCCTCCTTTACGACATTTGAAATTTGTATACTGAGCATAGTCTAGCAGTAGATCCTTGAGAGCTGTATAAGAAAGCGAAATGGGTTTTTCCGGCATAGCCAGAGTTCTTAATAAGCTGTATGCTTCTTTTCCAATGAATGTGAGGAAGTGTGCCACAATATTAACATCCTCATCATCTTCCTTGGTCATAGCCCAGATTTCGAACCTTTCAAAGTAATCTTCAAAAGCTTCAGAAGTTGAATGAATATCTAACTTTTCCATTGCAGGCTCCACCGCGACGCCAATATAGTATTCTACTTATAGTATGAATTAGGAATTCCAGGATTAACGCAATTGAATTAAGAAGACACAGGCACAACGAATGTACTGTATTTAGAATTCGAAATCGAGCATTCAACAAGTACAAAAGAATCATTAGTTAATTCAAACACCACAAGACATGTAATAGCATGTCAAAAAACACTCGTATACTCGTTTGAAGACAATGTCCAGATGCTGTAGATGAGACCCTCTTTCCGGACTTGGAATCAGTCATGGGCCACATGAGTGTCCATGGAGTTCTGTTAACTGATGAGCGTTGGTTGTCTTTGACCCTGAAATGGAACGATGGTCTTTTTGACATTCAGTGTCCCAACTGCCGGCTAGCGCGCAGCGACACTTCACCAGCCCTACGCAGTCACCAACATGTACAAATTTGAGACGTCAAAAATCTTCATCGATAAATATCTGAAGAGTTCGTGCAGCACTTGTTAAGCCGAAAGATTCTTAAGTCTATCATATGGTCGAATTCGCTCTAAGTCAACCGCAGCTTTTCAAGAGCTATTCGGTGCGCCTTCGGAAACACAGGTAGTCATGTAGTCGTGATGTGATGTTTAACATTACTGGTTACACATGGCTAATTTGGTTTGCAATTTTCGGAGATTTGTTGATATTATGGATTGATCGTATGGCTTGCCGCGACTGAGGATAAACCATAACCGGAAAAGAATCTACATAAACAGATCAATTAGTATTTTCTGTTGAATTTGAACTAAGGTTTGAACCTTCAAATTAGATCTTACATCCAGTATACTAACCTCCATTGGCATATATCGATGAGTAAATGATTATATAGCAGGTCTATATCGATGATCGGCATAGAGACATCAGCAACAACGAAAATTCAGTGGATGGGTTTGCGTAAACCCACGTTGTGATAAACATATCGCTTACAATACGTGGCGATTTGTTTCCCATTTGCCACCTGTAAGTTGAACACTGCTTCTTGCATTCAGTCGTTAGAATCCTCCGGAAGAACAGTAGCTTCTGAGCCGATGTGGACGAAGTGGCGAACTTTCGTAATCACAGCAGGGATGTGTAACAGACAGCTATGTTCGCCGGCTAAAGTTGACGTAACGTCATTTCATGGGGTTTGAGGTTTTTCTTTGACTGAAAAGCCTTGGCGTTCGAAGTTCTGATGAAATCCAGAATTTTATCGACAGATACAGCCAGCTCGTTCACAGAATTGTTTTTAAATGCAACAAGCACTGCCTGCACCTGCTGAGGAATCTTAGACAAGAAGAGCTGTCTTAATAGGTCATCGTCGAACGTCTGTTGAACAATAACCTCTTTTATTTGTAACAAAATATCTGTTGCTGAGTCATGTTGTAGATATATGTCATTGATGGATTGATATATATATATATATATATATATATATATATATATATATATTAGGATTCATATTCCCGGTCTGGTACCAGTTATGCAATTGGTAGATGTCTTCCTTTTTATATTCCATCCCAGTTTGCACATAACTTGGAGAAGCATGTATAGTTTTAAGGTAATCAGCGTGAAGGATAAGTTTACAGTTCTTTATAGAAGCATACACATTAACAAAATTGAATAAAATCGTGGACCAATTATACTACCCAGAATGACTCCACTGATAACACAGAGAGATTCCGAAATACACGAGCTTAGTACATGAATTCGATTGTTAAAGTAGGAATCAAGACAGTAATGGTAGGATTTGTATCCTAAGATTATAGTTTCAAAAACAGGAGGCCATGAGGAATGTTCTGCGCAGTATAATACAAAGATAACAGGCCTGATATTTATGTGTTTGGTTATGTGGTCGGAGAATTGAAGGTGAGATTTTATGAA